ATTAAATATAAGATAATAAATTTCATAATAAATTCTTCTATCTTTATTGAGTTTGTAATGTTTACTTATGTTACATTTTGTTACAGGATATTCATTAGTTCTTAAATTATTTCAAAACGTATTTTTCCCTGTAAACTTTAAATAAAAATAAAATATCTGACGAGAATGCTGCTAACATAAGTTGGTTGGAAACAGCAGTTTTAAATTTACCGCTTGTTGTGTGACGTCACACTTCGACAATTTTGATTGGTCGCATGCGCGTGAGCATACCCTTATCCTTATACCATGGTCTTGCCTTCTTTTATTTCGACAAGAATGCTGGTAAATCTTCGACGGAAGCTCCCCACTTATGTGTCGTCGGTAGCCAATCAGAACGCCCGACAAGCTCGTCGTACGACACATGGAATATCGGCCTTACTCCGTGTATTGTAGACGGGCCTTAATGGGTAGCATATAGCGTTTTCGATTGGGCAAAAGTTAGTGCGCACCAGTGCGCACTCAGTTCACACCAACACTGGACGAGTTCCATGGGTTGCACTGAATAGTGCAAGTTTAAAAGAATACGCCAAGATTGTCAGTGCTAAAGCTGAAACTCATTTTTGTTCACTTTGAAGCAATGTTCAACAAAATGTTACAAAACCACAGTAAAAGATATTAAGAGTAGGGACAAGACCCCGTTTTCAATTCAACTGCGCAGATTTGCTTGTCCCTATGTATATCCTTAACTGTGATAAAACGTGCACTGAACTGGCACCGTTAAAATATCTCGTGCCACTTAGTGCGCACTGAGTGCGCACTACGCGAGTGTCGTGCGATCAAATGAACACGTGACACTAGCCAAGTGCGCATTGGCACTGCCAATCGAACACGCTCTTGACACTGAGTGCAGCCAGTGCACCCCAATCGAAAACGCTAATAGGCAATTCCGCTTCCAGGGCTGCGTTCAGATATTACACCCGGGAGCACCCAAGCTCCCGAATGCCGTTCAGAAACCAATTGAGAGTACCTCATCGTTACCTAGGTGGCCCGTTCAGAAACGTTTCGGGTGTTCCCAATCGGGAGACTTCTGCACCCTGCTCTTTTGTTAGGTAGAAAATCTCTCGATCGAATAGGCACACAAAGCGCGGGAAGTGAAACATGGGCTGCGTTCAGCAAAGTCAGCAGTTTTACAACCCTTTTGTGATTCATCGCACTGATTGGATTATACTTTTAGGCGTCGTCTACAATACACGGAGTAAGAAGTAAGAGTAAGAAATTGACCAATCACAGTCGATTATTCTTCTCACATTCGACTGTGATTGGTCAATTTCTTACTCTTACTTCTTACTCCGTGTATTGTAGACGGGGCCTTTAGATTTAAAGGAATAGTCCTATCTCAGAGAAGAATCACAAAACGGTTGCAAAACTGTTGAGTCTGTTGAACGCAGCCCATGGCTACAAATAAGAATTTATTAATGCAATTTAATAATGAAAATCAAATTATATTATGGAATCCTGGAAGTAAGTAAAATATATTTTACTTCGATCGATTATAATTTACGATGAAGTACAATAAAGGATTTTTCGTCATGTTGCGTATGAAGTCCTGTTAAAGTGTAATAACTGTATAGTATTCTTTGATAAATCAATTTGTTTGCAAAATATTTATCTTTAAACATAATTATAATGAATTGAATATAATGTTTAACTTGATTGCATTTATTTGCACAAAACATTTAATATTAGAGGGGTGGCACCCAGTTGAACACGGCTCAATTGGACACGAGCCACTCACAGCGCTTGAGACTACAAAGCTCCTAAGCACCAGTCGCTGTGA